TGGCAACTTTAAGACTTGTGGACTTCAACTCCCAGAATTCCTCAGAGTTGTGGAGTTGATGTCCACAAGTCTTAAAGTTGCCAAGGTTGGACACCCCTGCCATAGTCCATGCAGTTACAAAGAGTCAGACATGACTTAGCAACTGAACAGCAACCACATGATCCCTTGGGGCTTAGAAAACTGTTCGAAATCTGTTTCAGTTTTGACTTAGCAATAGTCACGTCCACAGTTAGCCAAAACAAGAGTTCATCATAATGGATGAACTTTGGGTTATATTTTTCAGCCTATGATCTCTGATGAAAAACCCCTTAGTTTGTTTGAGTATATGTCCGTCTCTGATGCAAGGTGAAGATGGAGCACTGACACCGTTTTAGGAGATAGATTTTAAAGAAAAAAAGTTTTAATCAATTTAAAAAAGAGATTGTGCATCATCATCAAGTCAGCACTGATTCTTAGTGAGAGTCCCAAAGGTGCATTTTTCAAGAGGCAACTGGACTTTCTGGTTTTTCTTTGAAGACCTTTCACTTCTCATCCAAGAAACTTCTTCAGTTCTGACTGGATGGTGGGGAATGGAAGGATTTACACTCCTTGCAGACAGCTGGTCATTTGCATCGTTTTAGTGAGTTGTGGAGGCCACTTGGAGGTTTATTTGTATCATCAGGGTCACCTGAACAAGCCCTCTTTCAACAGAGGGAGAAGGATATGACATCTATCTCCAGTTTACAACACAATCCTTTCAGCTGTTTCAAGAAGGCTCCATACCCATTTTCATCACTTGGGTGACTGTAACTTTGTCGGTTGTATCCTTATGATTTATATCGACTGTTTCCTAGTATGATTTGATTGCTGATTGTACCCTATGACTATCATTAAGTGCTGTACCTTACGATCCTTGACTCTTGACGAATGTATCTTTTATGTATACTGAGAACATATGCACCAGGACAAATTCCTTGTGTGTCCAATAACACTTGGCCAATAAAGAATTCATTCATTCATTCAACCTAGAACTATGCTGCCCACGGCGTGACCTAAGCTTAGTACACAAAATTGTCTGCTACAACGTCCTGCCCGTCAATGACTTCTTCAGCTTCAACCGCAAACGGGCAAACAATAGATACAGACTCAAAGTAAACCGCTCCAAAATCGATTGCAGAAAATACGACTTCAGCAAAAGAGTGGTCAACGCCTGGAACTCACTACCTGACTCTGTTGTTACATCCTCAAACTCAGAGGTGGTATTGAGCAGGTTCTGACCAGTTCTGGAGAACCGGTAGCAGAAATTTTGAGTAGTTTGGAGAACTGGCAAATACCATCTCTGACTGTCCCTGCCAACCCCATCAATTCTCTGCCTCCCATTGAGTCCCAGCTGATTGGTTGGCTCTTCTTTTGTTGCCCTGCACAGGAGAACGGAGCTGGAAAGCAGGTTAGTTGGGGTGGGGAGGGAATGGGGATTTTGCAGTATCCTTCCCCTGCCATGCCCACCAAGCCACCTTCATCAAGCCACACACCACACCCACTAAGCCACGCCCACAGAACCGGTAGTAAGAAAAATTGAATCCCACCATTACTTAAACGCCCAAAACTAACCTTAAAACTATCTACCATGGACTTCACTCCATTCCTAAGAGGTCTGTAAGGGAGCGTGCATAAGCACACCTGCGCGCCTACCGTCCCTGTCCTATTGTTCCCATTTATTCATACTCATTTGTTATGTATACACTTATACCTGTTTTTAGTATTTTTTTTTTTAGTATTTATTTGATTTGTCAATCGCTTACAAGATACAGGAATAAATATAGTTTTGAATACATGAGATAGATACTTATAAGAAAAATAAAAAGAAACAATAGGACAGGGACGGTAGGCACGATTGGTGCGCTTATGCACGCCCCCTACAGGCCTCTTAGGAAGGGGGTGAGGTCAACAAGTCTAAAGTTAAAGTTTTTGGGGTTTGGGGAAGAAACCACAGAGTCAGGTAGAGTATGCTGAAGTCGTATTTCCTGCAGTCAAGTTTGGTGCGGTTAACCTTGAGTTTGTATCTATTGCGTGCTCTTGTATTGTTATGACTGAAGCTGAAGTATTCATTTGCAGGTAGCACATTGCAACTTATGGTTTTTATATACTATATTTAGATCGGACTTCTGTTTCTATGTTCATACTCATACTTTATTTTATTTATTTATTTATTGATTTGATTTGCCAATTGTTTACAAGATAATAAGTATAAGTGTATACATAGTTGTGAATACATGAAATGGGTACATATAAGAAAAATAAAAGAAGAATAAGAGAAACAATAGGACAGGGACGGTAGGCACGTTGGTGCGCTTATGCACGCCCCCTACAGACCTCTTAGGAAAGGGGTGAGGTCAATAGTAGACAGTCTAAGGTTAAAGTTTTTGGGGTTTGGGGAAGAAACCACAGAGTCGGGTAGAGTATTCCAGACATTGACCACTCTATTGCTGAAGTCGTATTTCCTGCAATCAAGTTTGGTGCGGTTAACTTTGAGTTTGTATCTATTGTGTGCTCTTGTGTTGTTATGGTTGAAGCTGAAGTATTCATTGACAGGTACTTGTTTTCTCATACACGCTTGACAAACAAGCAAGCAAACAAACAAACAAACCAATCCACATTCCAATTGCAGCCTCTTCTTCCTGGCCAGTCGGAGTCGGCTTGTCAAAAACCGGAGAGATGATCGCTGGGGGTTTTTTTTGTTTGTGTTTTTTTTTTGGGGGGGGGGGGGGGGCAGCCACGTGAAATTTCGGCCGACGTCCCTCCTGCTTTCAAGCTCGCTTTGCAACAGCCGACCAATGAGAGCGCGCCTTCGCCTCCTCAAAGTTCCTTGCCCCCCCTCCTCCCTCCTCTCGTCCTTTGCTGCCCCCTAGCGGAGCTTCGAGGAAAAAGGCGCCGCTTCCTACCAGTGATGCAATCCGAGCCGGGTCGCTTGGCTCTCCGCTGCGAAGGGAAGCGGCTTCATTCGCGGCTGCAACGTGTCTTGATCAACGGCTGCCTGCCTTTCGCTCCGGTTCCTCCCCCCCCTCCCTCCACTCACCCATCAAGGCTGCTGAGGAACCCGGGAAGAGGAGTGGGGGAGAGAAGGAGGAGGACTTGCCTCCTGTCAGCTGCAGCCGTGCAGAGATCCGTCAAGAAGAAGAAGAAGAAGAACAAGAAGAAGAAGAAAAAAAGAGATCTTCCCAAATCTCTTTTTTTTTTCCCGCCTGCTTGGAGAAATTGGAGCGGATTTTGCTGTCAAGATGAAGGTACTGTAAGAATTGCGAAGGGGTGAGATGGTGAGAGATGCTGACTTGCTGGCGGGGTGCAAGCGATCTGGTCCCCGTTCCCCCATTCACAAAAACAACCTCCTCTCGCAAATAATAACAATTTTGTTTTGTTTTTTTGAAAAAAAGAAAGAATCGAGCGTTAGTTTGGATGCATCTTTGATAAACGCATCCTTGCTACGCCTTGCACGCTCCGATAGCATCCACAGAGACAAGGGTCGACAAGGCAAGAATAAAAATAGAAAATAAACGATTGCTGTCAATCATTGGATTCCTTCCTCTGCCCCCCCCCCCCCCCCGGCCTTCCTATACTGGGGTCATTCTTCTTTCCTAAAAACGAAGCGAAATGCGGGTTTCGGATTAAGCAGAGTTTTTTTGCTCCATATGGTGGGAAGAAGCACCAATATTTTGTGTGTTTGCACAGGCACAGGTTTAAGGCTGTTCATCCCCCCCCTTTTTTTCCCCCTCTCTAATTTAGCCAGCAAAAACGCTACAGGGTTTGTTTGTTTTTTAAAGCATCAAGGAGAGCAATTCGGTGTGTGTGTGAAAGGGTCTTCATTCTTTTGCAAGTATGAACACGGATTTCTGGGTTTTGCAGTTGCTGTTGCTAGTGTTTTGGTTTTTTTTTTTTTTTTTTGCTTGGTTTTGGAGAAGCCACATTTTAAGGGCTCGGGTGTTTATTTATAGCATTTCACTTCGCAATCCATTTCCAGTTCCAAATCAGGTCAACCAACAGACAGCAAACCTAGCCGCTGACAATGGGGGGAAAAAATCGGAGGGAATGAAAGGTGGGGGGGGGGGGGAATTCAGTTCCTCTCTCTCTCTCTTTCCTGTCAGGAGATCTTAGAAGTATTATATTTTTTTCCCGCCTTCCTTTTCTCTGAAAATGGAGGGTTTTTGTGTATTTTTTGAGTCAGAAAAAGAATGGTTCCAGCTGTTTATGTGAGTTTTTTCCTCCCCTTGCCTATTTCCTCCATCAACTCAGATGAACGCCTCCCCAAAAAAACCCTTCTTCGGATTATTGGGTAACCTCTTGGAGATGTTTACGGGGGAAAGTCCACCCTGGTAGTCCATTCTCTATACCCTCAAAAAGTTTGTGAGGAATTGCTAGGGAGACCTCAGCAAAAGGGGAGAGGGAGGCAAAACCTCCACAGACTTCCCCAGTTGTTGTAGAATAGATTGCAAAAGAAAAGGTAGCTAGAGTTGTTTCGCTTGTTGAAACCTCTGGCCAGACGGAATTCACCGTTATTTTTTATTTTTATTTTAAGTCTTTGGCTCATGTTACTGCAGCTGTTCACTTTGCCAGTGAACAAACCTATTATATCCCAGGCTGCCCACAGCTGTTTGACATTTATGAAGAGCCTAACCTCCCCAGTCCTGATTTATACATGATCCAGGAATGTAAAAACGGCTAAATTCTTCAGAGGCTACTCAAGATGGTAGCGGGAAAAGCTGCTGACCAGAGTTTGATCCACACAGAAACGAAGAAAAGAGATTAATAGGACAAAAAATATCCTGGTCCCTGCTTGGGATTCTGTTCCAGCTGTGCTGATACAGATAGAGTTGGAAGGGACCTTGTAGGTCATCTAGTCCGACCCCCTGCCCAAGTAGGAGAACCTACACCATTTCTGACAAATGGCAGTCCAATCTCTTCCTGTGATGATGCTCCCACAACTTCCGAAGGCAAAGCTGCCCCACTGTTGATGGTTCTCACTGTCACAGAATTTCTCCTTATTTCCAGGTTGAATCTCTCCTTGTTCAGTTTCCATCCATTATTCCTTGTCTGGTCTTTGGGTGCTTTAGAAAATAGCTTGACCCCTTCCTCTCTGTGGCAGCCCCTCAAATCTTGGAAGACTGCTATCATGTCTCTTCACTAGACTAGCCATGCCAAGTACTTGCAACCATTCATTGTATGTTTTAGCCTCCAGTCCTAGTCTAATCATCCTGGTTGCTTTTCTCTGTACATTTTCTAGAGTCTCAACATCTTTTTTATAGTGTAGTGACCAAAACTGGATGCAGTACTCTAGGTGTGGTCTTACTAAGGCTTTATAGAGTGGTATTAGTACCTCACTTGATCTCGATTGTATCCCTCCGTTAATGCAACTTCCAAGATTTATTTATCGGTAATTCTCAACTTACGACCACTCATTCAGTGACTGTTTGAAATTATGACAGCATTGAAAAAGGTGGCTTGTGACCGTTGCATCATCTCCATAGTCACATGAATCAAAATTGACATCGGGCCTGTATTTATAACGGTTGCAGTATCCCGGGATCATGCAATCCCCTTTTGTGTCCTACTGACGAGCAAAGTCAACGGAGAAGCCAGATTGTCTTAACGACCGTGTTGACTAACTGAAGAGTTGCAGGGATCGCTTTAACAATGGGGACAAGAAAGGTCGTAAAATGGGGGCAGAGCTCACTTTACAACAAGTGTTTTTGCTTAGCTCAGTGTGGTCCTTAAGTAGAGGACTGCCCTGTACAGATTAAACGTGGAGACTGCCCACCTCACCCGAACAGCAGTTCTTGGGTGGCGCACGATTCAAACGTAAAAGATGAGCGGCTAATACATTTTTATAAATAAAACTAGCAGGGTACCTGTGCTTCACTATGAAACTATGTGATCAGGCAAGTTTTTGGGGAGGAAAATAAGGGGGGGGGAAATTCTGCCTCTGCCTACCAGCATCCATCGGTATTCATCTGGCTGGCGTCCTGTCAGTGTGTGAGAGAGTTGAGGATGATTTGGAATCTGAAAGAGTATTTGCTATGTGAGCAAGAAGGAGACAGCAAGGAGCCTGGGCGTGGCTTAGCTCAACTGTTCTGTACTAAAGCTGGTTTCTGCTGTGAAACTAAAACTGAAACTCCGCTCCTCTGCTTGTGTTTTGCATTTGGAACAGATTTCTTTTCAGGTGGGGAGGGGGAGTAGAACTCCTTAGCATCAGAGCGTGTTAATAATAATATAGGAAATACTAATGCTTTGATGGTCATTTCGAAAAATCCTTTCTTAGTGAGCACCTAGAAGCCAAGAGGAACATACAGGCCAAATTTCAAGTTTGTAGGCTTTACGGTTCTGGAGATTTTGTGATGATGTGTGAGTGGTATTTTGCTTTTATGTATATAGATAGATGAATACAAACCCTGTCAATATTGTATTCCACTTGGAGGCCGTTAAAAGAAGCATGAAATCATTGCAGTTGAAAAAAAGGGGGGGAAGGTCTTCAAGGGGTTAAACAGCCCCCAGGGGCTGCGTGCTCCTCTGTGAGGCCCAAGCAAATGGACTGAGCCAGGGTCTTCTTACTTATTTATGTAGCCAGCGTCTTCTTACTCATTCTGTATGCTTTTCCTTTTCCCCCCCACAATATCTCAGCCAGTTGACATTCTGTGACTGCAGCGTGCTTATATATTATTGGGTCATTTGGGGTCATTTTTCTTGATTTAAGGTGCCGTCCTCCCCCCCCTCTCTCTCTTTCTGGGATTTCCCCCACGCCTGCTGCTTTCTGGTTCGTGCTTTAGGGACTTACCCCAAACTTCCTATTCTCACCATCGCTAAACCGTGGGTGCCAGCTGAGCCACATAAGCACTTCATGAATCAGCTCAGTGTTAGTTTTAGACATTGGGGCTAAAGCGGCATTTGTGGAAATGTTGCTTGTGGAACAACTACTCCGGGCTGGGTTTGGTCACAGTTTCCCTATGTTGAAAGCTAAAACCCACCCCACACTCCTAGGAAAATGAAATATTTTAGGATATACTAAAAAAGGCAGAATATTTCCCTAAAAGAAAAGTAGAAACTCAGAGAGGCAGAAACTCAGCCCCTCTCCACCTTTGTTAATGGACCATTAAGGCAGTCTATTCTACATAACAAAGATCTACCTCCTTCAGGCAGAGCCATTTAATTGCCCTTCATTGCATCAGCCAGCAAGTTTCAACCAAACTTAGCACATAGACCACCTACAAAGCTAGCTATGACCTCTGACGGCAACCAATCAGGATACTCTTCCTGTGCTCCAGGAAGTTCAAAGCCCAAAGAGGGTATAAAACCCAGGGCGTCTCAGCATCGCCTTCTTTTTCTTCACCCAAGAGCTCCAAGGCATGTGGTCCTGTCCACCATTAAACCATCTTTCCAAACAGCCTCCATGTTTCCAATTTCTTTTTTCCCCACTTGGAACTGAACCCAGAAGGATATTTTCTTCCAACACCTGATTAGATTGTAAAGATATATTGGGGAGGTGACCGCATTGACTGGACCATTTATGACTCCATGTTGCCGTAAACAGTCAATCAAAGATTAACCACTTGATGATAATGATGTTGATGTCAGGTGCATGAAGTAAAACAGCAAGGACAACACAGTAATTATGCGCGTGGGAAACCATAAGTAGCAGTGGCAAGAATGAGGTCAAAAGGAAGATTACAATTAAGGATAACCATGGCTGCGTTGTGCGTTCCTGGTAAGAGTTCACTCGTGTCCCATTCAGCATTACTTCATTCCATTTCTCTCCAAACTGGTTTCCATTTTCGTACCCAGTAAGCCAATTAACAAAGGAACTGTGACATTATTGGGTTTTTTTTTTTAAGTATGTTGTTCTGATCCACCCTCTTTTAATAAAGTAGGTATTCTTTTGTAGGAAGTTAGCACCCACCCCTCTCCTAAAAAAATGAAATATCCTAGGAAATATTAAAAAGGCAGAATATTTCCCCTAAAAAGAGAAGTTGCTCCGAAACAGAAACTCAACTCAGAGAGGCAGAAACTCACCCCCACCTTTGTTAACCGGGGGGACGGACGGATGGACATTAAAGCTTGGGCCAGAGTATTCTACGTAACGAAGGCCTCTACCCATCTCACCACCTGGCCTGGGAAGATTGCATCAGCCAGCACTCATGTGAAGCCATGTGGTCCAGACAAAGCCTACACACTTAGCTAAGTTAAATCCCGCCCCTGGGAGTTCTGAGAGCCAATGGGATACGTTTCTTAAACAGGAATA